TTCCCTCACTGCCATCCTGCTGGCCGCCATCTTGACTGCACAAATTGGAACATTTATCAGACATCTTTAAAGACATGGGCACAATTCTTGAAAGGAGTTCCCGGCCACACCAGTCCTATTGGGGAGACTGATGGCTCACTAGGAAGAGAATGGCCAGGAAGAAAGGTCTCACCCAAGGACAATGGCATGGGCTCCATCCACTGAGCACTGGACTCCCAGCTGGGAGGCTGATGGGGGGCAGGGAGGCAGGGTAAGAGCCACACAGTTCCTCAGAGCCAAACCATCTGCTTTCTAAAAAGCAGGAACAGAAATTCCCCTCCAGACTCCACAGGGGACCATAAAGTGTCACCCAAAAAGGACAGCAATAGAAAGTGTGGGGTCACCTTCTCTTTAAGATGCACCTCCTTTTCTGAACTGTCCCCTTCGTCAGAACTGTTACTTTACTTTGTCAGGCTTACATGACTTCAAATGGAAAGAAAAACGATGGTTTGAAATGCAGCCTATACTTTACAAACCTAGAAATTCTGCTCCTGGCAATGAGTCCCCCAGGGACAGGCATGCCTGACATGCCAGCATGGGATTTCACCACACTGGAGAGAGGTGTCACATCTAGGTGGTCACCAGCCTCAGAGACCAGCAGCTTTCACTCCCCTCCATCCCCTCTCACACTCTCTTCGACTTCCCCTTTGTAGAAATAGCCTTCCTCTGTGGGTTTCTGCAGAGCTTCAAGTGATGATCAGCCCTGAACGAAGTGTTTCCACTTGGCACAGAGCATGGCTCACACCCAGACCCACCACCTCCCTCACCACGCTGCCACCACCTTAAGCCTCCTAATTACCCAGGGTTGTCAGACTTAGCAGCTAAAAATACAGATCACCAGTTAAATTTGAATTTCAGATAAAAACCAAGTAAATTTTTAGTATATCTCAAATACTGCATGAAAAACATACAAAAAAATTGTTACTTATTTGAAATTCAAATTTAACTGGTATCCTATATTTTATATGGCAATCCTATACTGTCTAATTCTTTATTCAGTTTTAGGTACTACCTATTAATATTTAGGTTATCAAAATATTATCTAAAGGTTGAAGATCTCACCCAATTTGTCCTCAGTTCAATGACATACGTCCTGTGTGAATATTTAGTAAATTATAATTAAGAAAACAGTTGCATGGTCATTAACTTAATACAAAGCTCCATTTCTCCCTCATTGCCCCCTGTGGGTAACCAAGAGTTTAATCTTGCTGCCTTTTCCAGAAGGGACCAGAGGGATGGCAGTGAGTAACTGATTGGTCTAGGACCATTTTTCACCTAAAAACACCTTGCTTTCAACACCCTCCCTTCACCAGCAGCCCTCAGAGGGATCATACAATAGCAACAGGTCGTCTGGTTACCTGAGCACACGGCCTCAGTAGGCCAACCCCCTGCTTCTGAGACATAAGGAAGGGAACCTAGGAATGGGGCCATGGGAACAGGACCCCACACTTTCAACTCCACCCTCTTTCTCCCCCTGGCCGGTGGCCAATCTCCCCACTGGACGTAGTGTGTGTGAGGCCCTCTTACCAGTGTGTGTGAGCATGTGCCTCTGGAGGGAGCTGGCCCAAGGGAAGACGCGAGGGCAGTGGGGACAGTTGATCTTCTGCAGGCAGTTGGCATAAGAGTTCCGCTTTGTCCTCAGCAGCTTGTCTTCTGGGGGGCTGCCCTGCTCTTCATCACTGGGCCCATTGTGGTCAGCGGGGGCACCGGCCAACTCGTCCTGAGCATCGTCCTCTGCGGTCTGCAGAAATGGACTGAACTTGTTGGTGTCTGTGGTAGCCAGCATCTTCTCAATGCTGGCAAATTCCCCACTAGAGTCCAGATCTATCCCACCGCTGCTGGCCCGGGGCCGGCTCCTCAACCCCTTTTTCCGGCCCCTCTTCTTTGACAAGCCAGCTGGCCCCTGCCCAGTGGGTGAAGCCGCCTCTGGACTGTTGGCAGCAGGGGGTGGGTCGCTGGATTCTTTGGGGCTGGTGGTTTCAGTGGGGGCAGTGGTGCCTCCTAAGCTGTCTGAAGCTGTGGTGTTACTGCTGGTGCCTGTGGGCCCTGGGTCAGACACCTTGCCTTTGAGCAAGGTGGGGGCTGAGGACACGGATGAGATGATCTGGGCAATGGAGGCCAGTGGGGGCAGCTCTTCTGTCATAGGGGGCTTTGGCAAGAGCAGGGGGGGCTTGGGGCGTAGAGGCCTCAACAAGGCTGGGCTGCTTATCAGGGTGGAGCTGCCCAAGAGAGGGGAGCTGTTGATGAGGGCTGAAGAGTAAATGGGGACAGCGACCTGAACGGAGCCCTGCAGGGGCTGAGCAGGGGCTTCCAGAGTAGTGGCTGTGGAGGCTGCTGCCGAAAGGGCCAAGGGTTTCTCCAAGATCCCACTGGATCCCAAGGGCACTGGCAGAGTAGGGCACGGTGGTGGACAGGGAGAGAGTTGCTCCCTGCTCCCTGGTTCCTGCTCAGGCATCTTGGCTTCACTGGGAGCAGCTGAATCCTTTTCTCCTCTCCTAAAGTTCTTGGGGATGGACAGGTCAATGGGCTCCATGGAGCAGTCATAGGGGGCCGAGGAAGAGGGGCTCAGGAACAAGGCTGCGTTTTCCTGCTTCACGTGGACCAGAGCCAGGCCCTTCTGGGAGAAGTCCAGAGGCTCGTTGAAGTCCACTGAGAAGTTGCTGGCCGGCTCCAACTTGACAGAGATGGGAGGCGGAGGCTGGGTGGGGCCAGCATGAAGATAGCCATTCTGGGCCTCCAGAAAGGTAGCAAGGGGTTTGCGCTCACCAAAGGTTCCGCTGCCCTCCTCCACCCTCCCTGAGGCCTCAGCTGCAGGGGCCTCCTTGGGGCCCAAGCCATCTGCCGCCAGGATGTAGCTCTCGATATCGTGCTCTGGCACATGTAGGTGCTGCTTAAGGATGTGGTGGACGCAGTTGCGCTTGGCTGAGAAGGTGGCACTGCACTCCTTGCACTCAAAGGGCTTGTGGCTCTTAGGGCAGCCGCCCAAGCCGCGGCCACAGTGTGTGCGCATGTGGATGCGCAGAGCGCGGTAGTGCTTCAGGTCTTCACCGCACAGCCGGCACACTGTGTCTGGGGAGCAGAAGGCGTCCACCATCTCTGCCGCGCTGCTGGTCACATACTCGATGTTCTTCTCGATGTCCTTGCGGGTGGCCTTGAGATGCTTCTTGCGCAGGTGCCGCTCGCAGTTGGCCTTGACGGTGAAGGGGTAGTGGCAGATCTTGCAGATATAGGGCCGCTCGCCACTGTGTGTGCGCAGGTGGCGGATGAGTGCAGCCTTGTCGGCCGCGATGTAGTCGCAGATGTTGCACTGGTATGGAGAGATGCCCAGGTGGGAGCGTACGTGAGCACGCAACACTCCGGAGAAGGCGAACACCTGGTTGCAGAAGCGACAGGGATAGAGCACCTTACGCATGGCTGGAGATTTCTTGCTGCTGGGGCCCGTCATGATGGCCTTGAGGTCTCCCTCTGTTATCTCCTGCTTGATCTTGGCTTCCATGCTCAGGGGCAGCAGGGCCTCGATGATGCTGTCCTGCTCCAATTGCGTCTTCATCTCGGCCTGACCTGGTAGCTCTACCCGTGGCTGTTGCAGGAAGAGCTGCATGGCCGTGTGTGGCTGGGCCCCGGACTTGGACTGCAGCAGGTTTGTGTTGGAGGCCACCTCCACAGAGCCTTTGAGGAGCTTCAGGGCTGGCGGGGGCAGGCTGGGACTGATGCAGCCAGGGGAGGCCTGCTGGGCATTGAGGAGAGGAGGGGGTGTTGAGGTGGCCACCACTGTCCGCGGTGTGACCAGAGGCTTTGGCTTCAGAGGGGGCATGTGTTTGAAAATCGCCTGCAGAGGGGTGACAGGGGCCTTGGAAAGAGGCGGAAGACTGATCTGCGGGGGTGCTGAGGCTGCCATCTTGAGGATCTGCTGGATGTCAGCCAGCTCAATGGCGGACTCCCCGGAGATGGGCTTGACCACAATACTACTATCAGGCTGGATGATGAAGCCCTTTTGGAAAGGCTGCAGGGACAGGTGCTTCATGCTCTCCTTGGTGGCTGGGAGGACTGTGAGAGAACCGCCCAGGGAAGAAGCTTCGAAAGGAGACAGCCTCAGCATGTTGGTGCAGCCGGGTTCCTGAGGTAGCTGACACTTGAGTGCCTGGAACTGTATTGCTTGGTTGTCATCCGGCGGGGGCTCCTCGGCTGGGACAGGCCTGACGTCTTTGGTGTGCTGCAGGCCCAGCAAGGCCAGGAAGACCTTCTGGTCCATGGCGTCACCAGGTAGGGTCTTGGCTTGCAACCTTTCCCGTCCCTGGTCCACAGCGACATGGGTCTGCTTGTGCAGGGCGAGCGAGGAGAGCATGGGGAATGCCTTGTCGCAGATATCACAGACAAAACGGTGTTGCTCGCTGATGCACCTTCGCAGGTTTGTTTCACACCAGGCCTGCAAAGCAAGGAATCAAAAGGAGGATTTAAAAATCATCACTAAACTGAGATGCAGAATGGCTGCAGTATCCAGCTTTCTCCATAACGTGTAGGAGCTGACCTTTCCCTGCTTGCTAATTGCTGGAGTGAATAAGGAAACCCACAAGCATGTTTTCTTGATGAATGAAATCAACCCCAGGTATCTCAGCAGTGAAGCAAGTTAAGTAATAATATCACAGTGGTAGGATTTTCTTTTTAAAAAATGGGTGCCTTGCAAAACTTACTGATGGTGGAGAACCCCTGTGCTGCCAGGAGGGAGGGAGCATCATCGGGGTTACATGAGGACACACATATGGGTGCCTACATATGGAATTGAGCTTGAGGCTTATGCACTGGAAGAATTTCACTGTTGCTATCGTCTATCAATTTTTTAAATTTGGAAAAAAGTAGTTTCAAAGTAGTTTTAGCAGGTGCTTTATAAGCAGAGAACAAATATGGCTCAGGTTAATAATGACCCCAAACATCTATCTATATATAAAAGGCTAATATGCTAAGTGTCTTTCTGCCCACCTGACCGGTTGCTATGACGCACATTGACCACCAGGGGGCAGACGCTCAATGCAGGAACTGCTGAGCTGGAGTGACTTGGCAGTGGTGGTTCTCGGGTGATGTACCCCAAAACCAGAGAGGAGGGAGCCCAATTCCTTGTGGGCCCGCGTGATTCCATCTTTGGCTGTGGGTTATGTTGTTGCTGGGGCACTGTTGGCCTCGAATCTGGTTTACTGCACACTTGCTTTTGCGTTCCACACCCTGTACGACACCAACTTAGCAGAGTACCCTCTCGCACTCTGGGACCCCTCAGGGGATGTTGAAGAGCGGGTTTCGGCCTGATCCCCACAGGCCAGGCTGAGGGACCCCACCTGCCGGAGGGACCCTGCTCACTCCTCAGACACCAGGGAGGGAGTGCGGGAGGTTGGTTCCAGGGTGTGTCCAGCCCTTCTCGCCCAGTTCCGCCTTGTCAGCCACCTTCTAATTAATTCCTTTCAATGTGCATGAATTGCACGGGGTCACTAGTTTTAAATAAGACTACAATGCTGAAAATATTTAGCTGTAAGGCTAATTAAAACTATAAATTGATGTAATTAAAAATACAAATCTAATTCTGATAGGGCCTAAAGAATGGGCAAAAGCCCTGATGAGCTAGACTCAGATGTAAGTAACTATGAAGAAAAAAAAAATGAAAGGCCACCTACACCTCTCAACACAACAACCCAAAAAAGACTAAAAAGGACAAAACTGAATTTCAAGAGGAAAGGTATTAAAAACAAAACCCGAGGGACCTCATTTGAAGGAAAGGAAACCTCAGGGTGAAGAATTTAAGTCCCACCCTGTGGACCATGGAGGAGACGGCTGCTGGTTCTGCCCATCAGCATACCTGAGAAATCCTAGGAAACTTCCTACAGGAGAAGTCGGTGAATCCCAAGTCATGGAAGCAAGCACGAATGGAAGGGTTGTTCTGGATGAAAGGCCTTCCCGTTGCATCTCTGGGAAGCTGTTTGTGGACAAGCGCATTGTGGCGTAGCAATCCTCGATGTGTCCGAAAGGTGACACAGCAAATGTCACATCTGGGAAGAAAATGACAGAATATAAGGAGACAGCGAAGTCAGAATTTCCACCTGTCCATTAATCGTATTGTGTTTTATTGGCTTTTGATCTATAAATAAATGAAAATAAAATGATAAAACAATTTATTATAATAATGAAAATAGGAATTATGTAACATCTAGAAGCCAGTCTGCTCACGGTTAGCAACAAAAAACTCTTCCTTAAAAAGAAACTATATCCTAACAACTTCTGGGTTTCCCATCTTTGCAGACAGCACAGGTGTGCACACTGTCGCAGGCCTTTGTTCTGTCACACTGAGTGATCCTTCCAAAGGATCCTCTCATGGTACCCATAAACTAATTACTAAAATTATGTGGCACACCAAAAAACGGTGTCCTCACTCCCTCTGCTCAATGTATTCTAGTCATAAAACATTTTGAAAGTCAAAAAGCACAAATTTACACAGCATCTCAGGCAATCACATCAGCATTCCTGTACCTGATCAAGATAAAATGATAAACTCTTTAACTGAGGTTGCAGCATGTGACAGAGATTATGATTTATGTGTTGTATTCTGATATTATTGCTACTCATTATCTGAAGAATAACTGCAGTTCCCACCTCTGAGCCCACACTAAGGGCAGTGGCACGACCTTGGCAGGTGGACCGTTATCACAGAGAACACTAAGGCTGAGGGCACACACCTCGTAAGAAGCAAACGCAAACTGTGAGGGTCCTACCATGAGGCCGTCTCCCTTTCCTAGGAGCCCCCACAAATGCTTTGCTTTAGAGCTGCCCTCCTCTTTCACCTTAACTGTCCTGGGACACATGGATGCTAAATACTTTTCTCCACTTTCACACGAGTGCTGTCCTGTAGGTCTTTGCCGAGAACCACCATCTTAAAATTTATACAATCATTAGGATGTTGTCAACATCCTCTATCCAGCGATTTTCAACCTTTTTCCTCTCATGGCACACATTACTAATCACTATAATTCTGCGGCACACCAAAAGTGTATTTTTTGCTGATCTGACAAAAAGTAAAGGTATGATTTTGATTCATTCACACCGGACGGCTATTGTGTTGGCTGTTGTCTTTTTTTTAATTTGACAATCTAAGAAAAAAGAGGTCAGTGCCCGTGACTAAATACTCAATATTGCATGTTTTAAAAATTCTTGAGGCACACTGTTTGAAAAATCTCTGGCCTAAGCCATCACTAGAGCTACACATGGTTATTTACATTTAATTAATTAAAATTTCCTCAGTCACATTAGACTAATTTCCCGGGCACATTCCTATGATCACAGTACTGTGTCCCAAACGTCATTCCAGTACTTACACATGTAAGCACATCTGCTCCCTACAAAACCTCTACGGCAGTTCCTATTACTGTTTCACAGAGGAATAAAGCCCTTAGTTAAAAAAAAAAAAGACAATAGCCAAAACAACAATAGCCATCCAGTATGAATGAATCAAAATTATACCTTATTTTTTGTCAGATTGGCAAAAATTGTATTTTTTGGTGTGCCACATAATTTTAGTAATTAATTTATGTGTACCGAGAGGAAAAAGGTTGAAAATTGCCATATTAGATGATAATAATGTCTACATTTCTTAAAAGCCCTTTTTCTTTACAGACATATAATGAAATATTTATAAATGAAATGTGTTGCCTGGGATTTGTTTTGAAATTATCTGGGGCAGAGAAGAGATGAGACACAAGTGCCTGTGGGTGGATAATTCCTGAAACTTGAGTGATGAGTGAGGGGGTCATTAGAGTAGTCTCTGTACTTCTGCATGCGTTTGAAATGTTCCTTATACATCTAGAAAAACATCTCATTACAAACGGCTAATGACAGTGGGCTTTTTGCCTCTTTTTTCCATGGGTCAACAATGTCCAAACCACTATTTGCAGTAGGTGTGTGTGTGTGTGTGTGTTGGGGTGGGGGGTGGGGGGTGGGTGTCAATCTATAGAAACTCCAGAAGAAAAGCCTCTGCACTGAGTCTCACGTGGTGCGGGTAATACAAAGGAGCCCATTTCTCCGGGAGAGCACTGGACAATCAGAGGGGCTAGGGGCCTACGGGGAAGTGCAGAGCCCAGGGCTCAGGAAGGCCCCACGATGTGGGATTTACAGGCTGGCAGGACGGGCTGGGTGGTCAAGCCTAAGGCCTATCTGGTTTGGTACTTTATGAACTAGAGATAGTTCACATTTTCTCTCTCCCTTCCCCTGTCCTGCCTGGGGCGTAAGCAGGTATGGTTTGGGGAACTGTGGGAGATGGGCGCTGGTCCGTGCCTTCCCTGGAAAGTGAGAATAAGAGAAGAAGTAAGAAAGATTGGAGCAGCCCTAGCTGGTTTGGCTCAGTGGATAGAGCGTCCGCCTGTGAACTGAAAGGTCCCGGGTTCGATTCCAGTCAAGGGCACATACCTGTGTTGCGGGCTTGATCCCCTGTAGGGGGCGTGCAGGAGGCAGTCGATCAATGATTCTCATCATTGATGTTTCTATCTCTCTCTCCCTCTCCCTTCCTCTCTGAAATCAATGAAAATAATTTTAAAAAGAAAGAAAAGAAAGATTGGAGCAAGCTGTAGCCCAGTGGGCCCCTACAGGCATCTTTCACTTGAAGTCTACACTATCTCAAACTTCCCAAATTCATATAGTACTGCCTACATACATTTTGTGAGTGTTTTAAATTCATTTTTACTAGTGCCAGGAACTGTCCTGGACTCTGGATAGTTGAGTAAACCATAAGCCCTGAGGACTAAGAAGGTGGCTGGCTGGGATCAAAAAAAAAAAGAAAGAAGGAAAGAAAGAAAGGAATAAAGGAAGGGAAGGGAAGGGGGGGGAGGGGAGGAAAGGAAAGGGTGGGCAGAGCAGCCATTTCTGCACAGGGATCTCTCCACAAACTGCACTTAGCAGAGAAGCCTCCTCAGTAAACTACCTACTCTGCACTGAACTGCCCTCTGAGCCAGCCCTTATAAGGGTTTCCTGGAATGCTATTTCAACCAATAGGGCTGAAGCTTTCCCCAGCCAATCAGAGCTACACAACTCTGACCAATCAGGGACCAGAGGTGGGGACTTTTGTCTATATAAGCCAGTTCCCCTGTGGATCTGGGAGCACACTTTCCACCAAAGACTGGCTTTCCCTGGCTGCAGCTGAAACATTGTAGATTTCTCAGACCCAGCATTGACCAGTGGGAGGGGGGGCAGAGCATAGTGGACCATCACATAGCAGAGCTGCCTAGCTGAAGAGGGGCCTGGCCTCAGGGCCGCCTGGCTCCCAGGCAGCTTCACAGGGAGCTGTTCCACAACAGTGCTATTTTCATGGCCATGTTGTATTACCTCTGAGCTGTTTGTACTGAATAAAGTTTCCTTCTTTACCACACCCCAAATCGGGGATTCCTGTTGGAGTTTGAATTGGCACCAACAGCCTTTGGTTGACAAAATACATTCAGTTGATCCTCATTATTTGTGGATTCTGTATTTATGAATTTGCCTATTCATTAAAATTTACTTGTAAACCCCAAATTAGTACTTGCAGCACTTTCTGGGTCATTCATGATTGTGCACAGCACTGTGAAAAACTTGAGTTGCCCTAGGCATGCATTCCCAGCTGAGGTCTAAAAAGGAGACACTCTGCCTTCTTGTTCAGCTGTCATACTGTAAACAAGTGTCTTTTTTGCAGTCTGTTTAGTACCACAATCTATCTGTAGTGCTTTTTGTTGGTGGATCTGTGTATAAAATGTCCACGGAGCACAGTGCTGAAGTGCTGTTCCTAAGTGCAAGAGACTGTGATGTGCCTTATGGAGAAAATACCTGTTTTAGATAAGCTTTCATCAGAGATGAATTGCAGTGCTGTTGGCTGTGAGTTTCATGTCAATGAGTCAATAGTATTTCATAAATAAGCTGTATTTAAATAGAAACACACATAAAATGAGGTTATATATTCAGTTGATGAAATGTTATAACCGTTTCATTTGGGAGCAATGACTCAGTATTAATTCTGTGTTCATGGTGCCTCTATCTATATGTATAAAAGCCTAAGTGACCATTATGATGGAATGATCAGTCGCTATGATGTGCACTGACCACCAGGGGACACTCAACACAGGCGCTGCCCCCAGCCTGCAGGCCCCGATCACCAATGGGGCCTGCTGGCCAACCTCCTGGTCCCTCCTCTCAGCCTGCAGACCCTGATCGCCTGATCCGGGCCAGGCCCCCGGGCTGGGACAAGGAACTGAGGGTGGGTGGTGGTGGACGCAGCCCCTTTCCCAGGGGTGTTGAAGGCCGGCTCTCTCCTTGGGGCCGGCGGCCAACCTTCGGGTCCCTCCCCCAATTCTGTAGGCCCTGATTGGCTCACCACCCACCTGCCATGGTCGTAGTTGGCCCCTCCCCCCGGCCAGCAGGCCCCAATCGCTTGATCGGCACCTGCTGCCAACCTCCCAGTCCCTCCCTCTGGCTGACAGGTCCCAATTGTCTGACTGGGGCTGGGCCTGGGCTGGAGAACCGGGGGTGGGTAGCAGCAGACACGGGCAGTGAGGGAAGGAGGAGGTGGGGAGGCAGGGAACCTTATCAGCCCTGGAGGTGAGCGGGTGGGAGCCAGCAGTCCCGGATTGTGAGAGGGATGTCCAGATTGGAGAGGGTGCAGGCTGGGCTGAGGGACAGCACCGCCCCCCCCCCCCCCCCCACGAATTTCATGCACCAGGCCTCTATTAGAAAATAACTACAGTGAATAACAAGAACTGACTGTACACTTACTCACCCATCCTATGTGTGAGTCCATGTTGCTGTTTCTGCATAAATCATTCTCATAACATCTTTGATTTCCAGTTTAGATTCTTTAAGGGAGAGCAAGAACCTACATTTTTACAAACCAAACTAAACCAGAATCCCATATTTTTATGATTATTTCTCTATTTATAGATGTCTTGCCCACCCTAAATATGACAGCAATTTTTTACAAAACAGTCCAACATGGCCAATAACCAAGTCTGCCCAACTTAGACTATTCTTTTTTTTTTTT